GCGCATGCGCGGGAAAGCGCGCGCTCTGTAACGAGTTTACACGGACCGTTTGTGTGGCTCTCAGAGCCGGTTGTAAGCTGAGAAGAGAAGCAGGAGGCCTGTGAGTCTCCGTTTACTGCAATGAACAATTAAGTCATTAAAGAAGCTTTTGGTTCACACTATGCCTGTTGAACTGTCATTTGAATCCAAGGATTTAACAATGATGATGATGATAAAATTAAACTGCTCTGGGACCTAAGAATTCAAATAGACAAGCACCTGCAACATAACACCCCGGACTTAACAATTGTCGATAAGAAAGACAAAAAAGTCTAGATAGTGGACATGGCAGTGCCTGGAGACAGCAGAATAGACGAGAAAGAACTGGAGAAGATAACAAAATACAAAGACCTACAAATAGAAATAGAAAGACTGTGGCAAAAGTAATCAAAGGTAGTACCAATAGTAATAGGCGCCTTGGGTGCAATCCCAAAACAACTGGAGCACCACTTGAACACCATTAGTATTGACAAATTCGCCATTAGTCAATTGCAAAAGGCGGCCTTACTAGGAACTGCTTCCATCCTGCGACGATATCTGTAATACCATCAAACATCCACATTTGCCTATCCCACATCCTTGGTAAGGACTTGATAGGTAGACAAAAATGCCAAATCCAGTCTGAACATCTGGCTGACTGTGCGATGAATAATAATAATAATAATAATAATAATAATAATAATAATAATAATAATAATAATAATAATAATGATGATGATGATGATGATGATGATGATGATGATGATGAGGAGGAGGGTTGGGAGGGACATTTATGGTTTTCTAGTGCAACCCCCTGCCTACCATTTCAAACAAATGGCCGTCCAGTCTCTTCTTAAAAACTTCAAGTGTTGGAGCATTCACAGCTTCTGGAGGCAGGTTGTTCCACTGATTAATTGTTCTAATTGTCAAGAAATTTCTCCTTAGTTCTCTCTTTGATTAATTTCCATCCATTGCTTCTTGTCCTGCCTTCAGGTGCTTTGGGAGTCAGCTTGACTCCCTCTTCTTAATGGGCATTAAAGTTGTATGTAAAAACAGTGCATTTTTACTAGTAAATAATAATTAATAAAACTTTCCTGACCAGAGTTATAAATTGTTTAATTGAGTCTTCCTGCAAATTTAAATCACATCTCTCAGATAAGTAACCACATTCACATCTATATGGGGTCTGGCTTCATTGTAATATGTAACTGTGAAGTAGGATGTGAACTGTCACTGATGTGTTTAAATCTGATTTTGAAATAAACAGATTAATCCTAGAGAAGAGGCAATGGCAAGCTTAATAAGCACATTTCAATAAGATACTCGGATAACAACGATCACAATAAAGCAAGAATTATTTCAAGGATAATTAACTATGAAAGTTATACATCAAGAAAGAAGTACTTGCCTTCTGAATTATGGACTTAGAGATAAATACTAAGAGCACTTACAAACAGCAAGAACAAAATATTAATTGGTCTTGGATGAAATAAAGACTGATAGGTCCTTTGAGGGGATGATCAGCAAGTAAAAACGAGCACATTTTTGAGCATGTGATGGGAGGTTATTTTGGATCAGAAACCTCTATTTTACTTGGCACGGTTGATAAAAGTATAAGAAGAGGAATACAATCGGGTAGATGGACAGATTCAAATAAATTACTGAAATGTCCTTGGAAGAGCAGCAAATTGTGACTAGAAACAGATTGAAATGGTGGGCATTCGTCCAGTCGCCTGGAATCAAACCAACGTGATGACATTTAATAACCACTAAGTATCATTATCTATTACACTGTATATAAAAAACAAGCATTATACAACCTACAGACACATAGGAGAGAATGATGGGGGGGAAAGGGGGGGAACCCTCTCCCTCTTTCTCATTTGAAAACAAGGGAAGCCGAACACGTGGGAAGGCGTTACGTGCATTACGAAACACCTCCTGGAATAGGGCACTGCACACAAAACTTAGCATTTCCCGTTTTGAAATGTTTAGCGACCGGCGAGCTTGCAACTTGCAAACAACCATCTAGCCCAAAAGGAAAGCGGAGGCAGGCAACCCTGGAAAGGCGCCCGCCACCCCGGCTCTGCAGACGGGGAACCCACGAGAACACGTCGGCGGGACGAGACTCTCCCGCGCTCAGATGCCCGGGCTGGGGGAGGGGGTAGTACTCACTAAGCCCGCCGAGCCATGATTCTCACTTAGCTCTGCCGGCACTCTCATCCGCTGCGGAAGAGCAGAAGAACATCCGGGGAACGAAGACCGTCTAGAGGTAGGAAAGACAAGACTCGCAACACCCAAGCGCGGCAAACTAGAACTCGGTAGTAGTTTACACGCTCTTTTCCAATTTTGCAAGAAAGCGGCGAAAGTCGGTCAGGAAGCTGCAAAGTCGGCATTCGGGTTTCCATCGAATGGGTAAATTAAGGAGGCAAGCATCGTTTTTTTTCTATCGACCCTAAACTATCTCCGAAGAAACATTTAAAGAAACATTTAAACATTGGACTCGCCTCTGCCGAGGGAACATTTCTCTTAAGATTTCCAACTGCAAGGCTGAGAGAGCCCAGGGTAGCTTTTCTATATATCTATATCGAAAAGTCAGAAATAAAAAAGAGAATAGCATACTGTAAATACAAAATAAATATTCTGATTTTTGTTTTCTGTGCATGGCTATTTAGCCCTGCCAGGGGGTTCTGAGTTAGCCCATCTTAGGTGAGGCATCTGTATGATCTTGATTCATTTCTAAAACAACAACAACTGCAGAACCCGGTCTGGAAATATCAAAGCTGTGAATTGAAGGACTGGAATTGTTGGGAGAGTGAGGAGCACATCTAGGTACTATGCAATCGGAAATAATTGTACAGCGTAGAGCAGGGGTTTCCCAAACTGTGAGGTGTACCTCCTTTTGGGAAGTCTAGACAGAGTCCAGGGGAGGTGGGAAGAATCTTTTAGTTGTGCACTGTTACAATAAATGTCATAAACTGCCCAGAATCGCTTAGGAGGTGATCTGGATGGTGTAGAAATTTAAATAAATAAATCCAACTTTCCCAAAGTTGCATTGGATTGTTTTCATTGTTCATTTGTGTTCATTTTGGTATTTGGATTTTTAAGGGAGCTGTGTACATTAAAATTATATTAAGGGAAGTCTGATGGCAAAAAGAACATCTAACAGCATCAAGGTTCCATGAAGTCGTTGTGTTTTGTTGTCCCATAGTGCTTGCCCGTCCTTCTCGACTGCATACAGCGGACATTCTAGGTTCCACCAATAAAACCATATCATTTCATGATATCCGGGAAGCAGGTCTTTTGTGTAGTTGCTCTGCACCAGATCTGGCATTCATCCTGAGATTTCCATGGATTCCATCCTGAACATTCACAAAAAGGCCCACCCTTCTTTAAACCTGTCCTTTCCCCCAAGCCTTGGACTAAACTTAAGTGTGGAGTTCTCAAGAATCCTCTGTCTGAGGTGGGATATGTTGATTCTTCTATGTCAGCATTCATTTTTTTTAATAAGCTGTTGTGTTTTACTTGTTTTTAATATTGTCATTTGAAACGTTAGTTATCCAGCGTTGTTATGGTGAAAGAGGTAGCCTTTTAAAGTTAATTAAAATAAATAAAAATGCAAAGACCTAGCTCTCTGGAGAAGTCTGTAATGCTGGGGAAAGTGGCAAGAAAAAGTAAAACAAGACAATTGGCAGCAAAGTGGATGAATTCTATTATAGCAGCGATGGTTGCACCCTTGCAAGACTTGAAGAGCCAGGTTCAGGACAGATCTGGAGAATATCTCTTCATGTAGTCTCTAACAATTGATGCTGACTTGATGGCACATAACCAGTAGCAGAATTAAGCAGTAGTAGAACTATGAATGACTTAACAATTTCTGAGGATGAAATTATGACAACATCCTGGGCACATGTCAGAGAAAAGATGTTGCTGGGATATGTTTGTACATTGGCTAGGTACAGGTGGGAAATGTCTAGTGAGTAGAACTGGCTTAAGAACCATCATACACAGAGAGGTAATAAGAGAAATGCAGCAAATTAGATTACTGGATTGGATTTGAGTTTAAAATTAATTAACAAATAATCAACTTGACTGCTCTATTGTTTTCCAAAACTGCATGTTGGATTTTTTTTTCTTTTCCAAATTTTTAGCATGAGATAGCTGATGCAAAGAAATGGGACAGCAAGATTTATAATGCTGCCTTCTATGGCAACTGTCATTTTGAAAGGTAAAACTATTGCAAATGTTGTATACTGTATAGCTCTTTTCTTTTTCTATCTCTATAGGATCTCTTAGTAAATAAACTTCGTAAGGATACAAATGTAAAAATATTGTCTATTCCACTGCTACCCCCTGCAGGAAGAGGCACGTATGTCACTTATTTAATATGAATTTGCAAATTCTATCAAATTGAGAAAAGAGATTTTATTGTTGTTTATTTACTTGTTTGTTTTGTGCTTTGAGCCAATACTGTAACTCTTTTCTGTGGAGTTTTAAAAAATGAAACTAAAGGCTACAATCCAGTTTGAATATAAATCTATTTGAAATAATATATTTATAAATGAAGAAAATGGTTTTAGTTGCAATTTTTTAAGGAATATGGTTTTGCTGCTTATTTTGAGGAGGATGTGGGAAATTCATTCTCTATATATCATGTAGTTACATTTCCATATAAAGTAAGGCTACCATATCTGGATTACACAAATCAAGAAATAGAATTAAGTTTTTATATGTATATTTTTGTTGTGCCTTGGTTATTTGGATTTTTGCAGCCCAGATAGAGTAGCCCCAATATTTATTTAGTAGATTGTTTGCTTGTTTGTTTATAAAATTTATAGGTTGCCAATCTTACCTCAAGGTAACTCTGGGCGGTTTACAATTATAATATAATCCCATGACTATTAACAAGACCAGATGGCAAATGTTCTACTCCTGGATCTAATCTAGCAGAAGCCAATCCATGTGGTAGGGATATTCCATGGCTATTTTAGCTGCCACTAAGCCTCCAGATAGTTTAGGATTAATTAAATTTCCCTAAATTAATCGGTTGATTGATTGATTTCACTATTTATCCATCCATCCCTTGCTTTGTAAAAAAAAAAAAAGTGCATGTGTTCTAATAAATATTCCAAAAGAGACTTTTAAAAATTTGGTCTTGCAAGGTGAAAAGTGCAAAGTTCCACACATCTTGACATATTTGATCCCTTATTCTGAAGGAGAGTTCTAAGAAGATACTGAAGCATCCTGCTATGTCAAGTCTAAAATCATAATTAAGCAAGCGTTCCATGTCCCAGAATGCTCCTCTGGAATCCCATACATCTATTAATCTTTTTGCTCCCCAGCAGCTAGCATTTAAGCTATTCTGAAAATGAACATTTGTGGAATGCCCACAATGCATCATGTAACAGCAATTTTCCAGCTTTACATGCATTCCAGCAATTTTTCAAAAAAATAAAACTTACATATTTCAGTATCAGCATTTTTTTTTTGGTTTAACATATCCTTGGTTTTAAAATTTTGAATGGGATTATTTGAGATAAAATAATATTTGTAGAATATACTTGCAGGAGTATATTCACCATCTATCCCAGAACGGTTTCCAAAAATGAGGGGCAGCATCTTTCAGGAAAATAATCTTGACTATGATGGCTGGATCCTAATTTCACAGGGGGCAGGGTTTATTTCCAATATAACAGCCCATCTTAAATAATTTCAAGACCATTTCTGTTGTTTGACATTTCAGATGACATTAACCAGGGATATTTTTGTTAACAACTTCACATATTCTATAGATACTTTCTCCTGACATCTCAGTCCCCTCTGTGGGACTGAGGCATGAGGCAAAGGAGTAGGGAGATATAAGGAACTCTGCTAGATGCTGTCAACATCATACTTTTTTATGTTTTATTTGTATTGTGAGATTGTTGAAGCAAAGGCTGCTTCATTGACTAATCTGAAGAATTCGCCTTTTGCATGGACAAATAGTTCAGTAGAGAATAACTGGGCAAATAAGGAATCAGCAAAATTTGTTAGGAAAGAGATTAAAAATAAAACTTCCAATACTGTATTGTCATTACCGAAATCTAAGATCTATTCACATCTGGAATTATGGTCATTTCAGTACGTGCATATGTTGTGTAGAAATAGGCCAAAAAATGAAAGAGCTATGGATATGGGCTATTGATGTGTAAGAAAAAGGTGAATGATCACCATATAAAATTATGAATTATGTAAAGGAAGTGGGTGTCTTTCTTCATTCAGCTTGGGAGTTACCCAATGAAACTGCACGACAGGTAATTCAAAAGAAATTCTTCAATGTCAGCTGTGGGATTGCAATCACAAGATGGTACTATATGGCAATCATTACTTTAGACTGCTTTAAAAGAGAATTAGACAAATTCAAGATGGAGA